AAAAATAAATACTAAAAAAAATTAAAAAAAAAAAGATTGTACAAAGAGAAAATACAGATCCATACACAGTAACTTGGCAGGATCAGAGGCCAATTTCTTAACCACACAATACAGAGTGCTAACATAAATACTTTCCCCATAATGTGGTAGCATTCTTGTCTAGCTAATGTCGGGTTTGTACTATTTTCTTTATGATTTGATGTTGGTCCCTGGTTTTTGCCCACAGAGAAGTGTATGTATCTCTTTATATTAATATACTTTTAAAAACTATTACGTGAAATGTTATTTGCTCTTAACATGCCCAACTGCAAATAGTATGTCTGTTTTCTTAGAAAATACTGACCTGGAAAAGTTTAAAATAATAACAGAATATGTCATCGCCCATGAGATTATTTCTTGCAAATTCCTGTCCTGCTTTTGCTATCTTCTTTGCCTGTGGGAACAATGACAACACAAAGTCCCTTAATGAAACATGTTTTTTTCCCCGTGCACACATATGCAAACTGATCTTCCGGGTACATGTATCCTGGAACAACGGCAGGAAAAATCTTTGAGGGTAGTGTTATGTGGTAAAGGGAACATTTAACAACAGTACGTTCAAATTAAAGGGAGGTTTTTTTTTAGAGTTGAAAGTTTGAGGAATCATACTGGACCTTCTAGAATGAAGCCTCTCTTGCAGAGAGAAGGCACACATTAAATGAGGTAACAATGACTTTGTAAAGTAAATGCAAGACAAAGCTTAACTGCCTTAACAATTCTCAGCAATTTTCCTGAAGTTTACTTCATGCAATCCTGCAGGAACTTTTTCTTCCTGCCCGTTTGAACACTTTCATATTGTTAGTAAAGGGGAGGCAGTGCCTGAGGCTCTGATCAACCTGACCGAAAAAAGAGAGAGCATCCTCAAGGCCAACCTCTAGCTTTTTATCTCAAGTGCAGAGTGGACAGTTAATCCAGACCCCGTGCCGGTGTTCACCCTGAGGGGGACAGATGTGCTACCTGGGGTGGGGGGGTGGGGGGGGCGCGGCCTCCCA